ACAAGGTTACTGATGATGAGTCTGGTGGTCCTGATCTCTCTAGCATCCATGTGTCATGGCAATTTAACCTTTAAGGAATCTGGGAGAAGATTATCACACACACATGAAAGGTATGTTCGATGGTTAATGGTTTCGTCTTCTTAATTTTGGAGTTCGTTTTACTTTTTAGCCAAACATAAATTTCAGAGCACAAAGCGACTGAAATTTTACCTGACTGAAGGTACAAGGATGCTATTATCCTTGGTGTCTATATGCCATCAGTGGTTTGGCTGGCCATACTTCTTGCTTTGATAACCTTCTTCTAACTTACCCATCAAACCTTGACGTTCTGTTTGGTACGAGGGAAATATAGAGAAGGGAGGATAGAGAAGAGAAAATTTTAATGAATTTAATTTTTTTAAAAAATGAATAAATGGGATTAAAAGTTTTTAAATAATTTTTCTCATTCTTTTATTTTACATCTTATCTTTATTAAAATTTTATAATCTCATTTTGATTTTTCAGTCGAACCCAATTAAGACTTTTTCTCCCCTTCCCTCGTGGGGTTATAAAAAGTTGATGAGAGTGATAACAAAACATGGTGGCAGCCTGACGGGGCGCACTCGCACGTGCTAGCGTGTGTGAATAAAGTCATGGCTGTAGTGAATGGCAATACATGGAGCATCTAATGGCTATTACAATTAACTTTGAGTATAGAATTATAGATTCTCATCACCAAATTATAAATTTCAAATATCAACCATCTAGATTAAAACTGAACATTTTAGGCTTGATGTTATTTTAATTCTTTATATTTTTAATAGATATAAAATTTAGAATAGAAGTACTCAAAAATATAAATTTATTATTTAACAATTTTCAATAGAGAGCGTATCAAATTTTTTTGGTCAAAACCACCATATCAAATTCAAAACCGGGAGTTAAACTGGGCGCACTTTTTAAAATATTAATCCATGTTTCAAAGTTAAGTTATTATTTATGCATATCGTCCATAATAAGCTCTGAATGAAAGAAAACTGAGCGAATGTGCAACAAACAAATAAAAAATGTTTGTATTATATTTTTCATTTTTCATTTTTTTATTTTATTTTCCCCTTCTTTTTCCAGTGTCTGTAAGTGTTGTTTTCTTCTGTTTGTTTGTTTCTTGTGGTATCAGTTTTTTTTTCCCCTTCTAAAGCAATAGAAATATCTTTTTGGCAAGAAAATATAAATGAAGGAAAGGGATATTAAAAGGCTTTTGATTTCTTCGGTTAAGTTTGATTTTTATTTGTAGATTTCTGTGGTCATTCAAGGGTTAACGACTTGATGCTTTTTCCAAAATCTATAAGGTTGAATAGAAACCAAACCATGGTTTTAGAAGTAATTTTACAGCATACAAAGTAAATATATGGAAGAGTTTGTCTCGATTTATAAAAAAAGTTTTTAAAAAACACTTATGCAGGAATCCAAACACTCCCTAGTCATCTTTGCTCTCACCATCACCTCTCCATTAACCGTCATCTCTACTGCTTTTTGTCAACCCAGTCTTAAGCTCTTGGCCTCCCATGCTTCTTCTGGTTATAAATACTCCATTTGATTTTTTTCATAAGCTTTAAATAACTAATTTATAAATAGCAAAATTAGTTAAAAATAATAAATAATTTAGAAATAGATTTTTGTTTCTAAATGTGCTTTTATAATAAATGAGAAAAATAATGAAAGAGAATGTGTGGAAAAATATGATAAGAAATAAATAATTAAGGGCAATAAGGGCAACATTAAAAAAAAAGCATTAATCGTTAAGACAAATTTAAATTGAAGCTTATAAATAGAGTTGGAAGGAGTACTAGATCAACTTTTAAATATAGGAGTCGAGTTTATTTTTTGTTCTAAATATAAACAATCAATGGACATAATATTTTGGGCAAAAAATGACCTAAATATAATATAATATTATTGTATATATTAAGGGGCTCTTAATTAAAAAGTAATTTCAATGCACATAATTAGATATAATAATTTAAAAAATTATGATATATTTGTTACAAATAACTAACTTAATTAATTTTTTTTATATTCAAAAATTAATTATCTAGCTCTTCTATTATATTAAGAATTCAGGATGCTACTTAAATTGATTGTGTTTTGAATGTGTATTGATGTAATGGCATCTGATAAAGTAGAACTCTAAATGATTTTAAAGCAAGGGGTGTTTGGATTATCTTTTTTAAAAGTAACTTTATGATATATGAGATAAATATACAAGAAGAGCTTGTAAAAGCACTTTTTTCTTTTGAGTAATTTTAAAGAATGCCTGTTATCAAAAAAAAATTTTTTTTAAAGAATGCCAAACTCCCCCTAATATCTTCATCCGATGCATCAGCAAACTGGAGGGGATAAATTGGGCTATACTCTTTCAAATTCAGGCCCAATACAAACTACAATGGCCCAGAGAAGTCATATTTAGGCCCAATACATGCTACAATGGCCGAGGGAATGTGACTGACGTTAAGAATGCTTCCCCCTTTTCATTTTGTAATCCACCCCCCAGGGACGTTCGAATGTCTTCCTCATCTGAAGATGCTGGTGAGAATTGGGTCGGAAGAGCTTAGCTGGGTCATAATTTTTCATAATAGATGCTACAATGGTGAGAAGGGATAATTACTATAAGTTTCCAATATATATATATATATATATATGTTTACCAAAAAATCCCACAACAATAAGTTCCGACATAGAAAATTAACAATAGCTTTCAACTGCTTGTTTATTATTAGGACTTTTTAATAATTTTTTTTTTAAACCTCAGCAGTTTTTGCCAAAGATCAATAACGTTAATAGTAATTCACGTAAGCATTCTGGTAGCCTAAAATAATCTTACAAGGCTCGAATTAAGGATAGATAAACATAACTGAGAATGCCGCTTAAGTGGCATGAAGGGTCTAAGATTGATTAGAAGACATTTATTTATTTTAATTATATTTAATTTTATTCTGAGACTCGCCTATATAAATGAACATGCCACATGCGGGGCATGTGCTTTTATTATTTAAGTGGTATCCACTCGTAAAATTATGTTATTTGATATAAACGAATATTCTAAGAACATGAAAAAAAAAATAAAAAACCAGATTTTTAACAAAATAATTCAAAGCGGGGGAAAACAGCAAAAAGCTTTTTTTTTCTTTGTCATTTTGATAGAGAAATGACAAGTGGCAATGAGAAATCCGAGTCCCTGTCAAGTGTCATGCTCAGGATAGCAAATTTAGGATCTGAAGAATAGACCGAGTTTAATTAATTATGAACGTTGATTTCAAAAATCACATTATATCTTGTAGACCAAAGTCCATAGCATTGTCACGAGATTTTTGGGTTCAGCTTGATTTTTTTAAGTTGTAGATGCCTTGCATCTTTGGCCTCTTGCTGGAAATTTCGGGGTGAAATGTGAAAATCACCAGAACACCTGGTTTTCAGGAATATTCTTCTGTTTACCCACTTGAAGAATTCCCTTATGTTTCGGCTTTTTTAATAAACTTGTCAACTTCTACAACTGGCTGACTTGTATTCAATATTTAATAATCTTTTTTCTTCCGAAACCAACGTTATATTCTGAAAAACGGCATATATGTCCCGCGAGTATTTAAGTTATGACCATTTTGCTAGATGTTCTTTCTTTTGTTCATCATAAGCACAAATAAGAAATAACCATATCCTTAGATGCTACAGAATAGAGATACTAAATACTCCTCCGGTCCTAATTATAAGACCCAATTGACTTATTTGAGGAGATTAAGGAAGTAAGTTAAGTTGGTTATTTATAATAAATAAGTGTTGTCATTCCTAAAATATCCTTGCTAATTAAGTATATTGGCTAAAACTATCATTATTAGAAGGATTATTTTGGAAAAAAATGCATAAATATAAGAGACAAAATAGATTGGGTCTTATAATTAGGACCAAATAAAAAGTCAAATTGGGTCTTATAATAAGGATCGGAAGAGTATTGTATTTTTGGGCAACGTTAATATTGGTCTTTCAGATTTTCTGATTAAAAAAATAAAGAGAAACAAGTCATTAAAGATGTCATGTGAGGAGACAGGAAAAGAAAACAGGAGATAGCACAACGTCAATAATAGCGTACAACTTCTGAGTGGGAGTGATATAATATTACGTGAGTTGGACCACCAGACACTCCCATGTGTCGTATGAGAATTTTATGTCAAATTGTAACAGAAAATAAAAAATTTTAAAAAGAAGGGAAAGAGGATGCCTGTTTATTATTACTTTTATATCAGAGGCTAAAGGAGACAGCTATTAGCTATTAGAATCAGCCATCGCCGGAAAAGGTGCGCCAGAATTCAAGTCCAGCCAAATAGAATCAATGTGCTCTCATTATCATTATCTCAGTCCCATCTGCCAATTTATTACCTTTTTGTTTCTAACCAAATGGTTCAAATACAGGGTTTTATTTTACCCCATTTTGTGAAATAAACCCAGGTATTTGACATGAATGGTCAAGAAGCATTCGATTAAGTTGGTTTTGAAACACAGCAAGGGAGGGACAGGATTACGTTACAGAGTCTAAAATGTTTGTCTCCTCTGGGGTAATTGGTAGGGCCATATCATTTCTTAAAGTTGTGGAGCAGCACAACAGTGGCTGAATTTGGACCACACCGACCGTGACCATAATAAATTCTCAGCTTTTCAATGCTATACACAGATCATTGATAAAATCACAGATGAGCGTGTAATTCTGTCAGAGATGAGCCTTCCTTTAGATATTTTTTACACTTGCTGCTTTTATGGTGTTGCACTCATCATCTATCAGTGTGAATGAATGATTCATTGTTTAACGGGATAGAGAAACTACCTATCATTTTGTCTCCCTTGATACGGTTTTTACAACGCCGAACTTGTTTCTGGCTCAAGTTGAAGATAGCGACTTATGACAACATAGTTTCAGACTGTATTACTGCACGGTAATTTATCATTTTAATGCGCTAGTTAATTACTGCACGGTATTTTATCCCAAATGTAACACTGAATTATTTTGGCATAAAAACAATTACAAGGCGGTATTGGCATCCACAACCATTTAAGTTACAGAGTCACATTGATCAAATAAAAAACCATTTCAAACAATTTCGTAGCGTTTAATAAATTTGGTGAGTACCAACGTGTGCTAATTATGAATTACACAATTTATAGTTACAATAGAAAACAAAAATAAGACATAGAGAAACCTCATTGGGTCCTACCAGTCAAATCCACCACAGCCTCCTCCACAAGCTCCTCAAGCAATTTCCCTTCTATCTCCTTCCCTAGATTAGCCGTCTCCAGTCCCAGCAGTTCAATCCACCCTTTTCCCACAACCTCTTTCCTGACAAACCTCTCTACCACCAGGCTGTTGCCGTCCCCACAATCTCCCCAAACACAATGCACCTCACTAGATATTAATTCCTTTATTTGGGTCACTATCAGGTCCACTAGTAGGGGAGATGTACCTTCTGGGGCACTGCCATGGGTCCTACTGCACATTCTGCCCATTGAGTATATTTCTGATTCATAACCAGTAATCTCCTTTAGTGCATCATTGACACAGTCAAATACAAGCTTCTGATTTGATCTCCTGTGTCTTCGTTTGGCCTCATGGAGAGGCTCCTTTTCGCTGTTGGCATACTTGTCTCTTAATGATGGATCCAATGGACTATCAAGGGAATGCCACCTAGAGTGAAACGAGTCTGACTGCACTTGATCATCAAGTCCAGCAGCCAATAGTAATTTCTGTACAGAGACAAGCCAGTCTTGCTCCTCTACCTTTGGGTCTATGGAAACTGTCAAGGACTTCAGAGGATACCGAGTAGCAACCTCTGCACAAGAATCTTCCCATGACAGGGTCCGAGAAATTGATTCTATAGGTGGTGATTTGTCAATTAAATTAGAATTCAGAGGCACCCCTGTTCCTGGATAACAAATGCAAGTCATGTCATAATTAAAACAGGCACGTCAAATAAGAAATCTCCAAAATAGAGATTCTCATAACAAGAAGAAAAAGAAGTACCCATGTGGCCGGCCTTTATAGAATCCAATGATTCCTGAGCTGCATGATCATCTCTAAACAGGGGCTCTAAAACTGAGATTGGACTTGGTTGGTCCTGGTTTTCACTTGATATCCCAGGCATGATGGGCTGTGACCCAGTCAATCCACGCTGTGAAAACAAATGAAAATCTCAGACCCTGGGGGTCAATTTATTTTATAATTTCTAATACTGATTCTGTTCGTCATTACTAATTTGCAATAACTCGCAACTGGAATTCCAAATAATTTGTAAAACAAATTGCTTTTAGTCATATGCATTAAGGGCCAGTAAGCTGAAGAGATCTTTTCCAGCAAAACCCTCATGTTTAGCCTAAGGGTTTCCCAACAACTCCCTCATTCAGCTTAACCAACACTTTCTTTCTTAATCTTAAACATATTGGCCGTAAAGTTCTTCATACCATACAACATACAATTTACAAAAGCACAAGTTGCAGGGATTTAATTCCCTTAATGAAATAGAAAGTAAGGCAGCCGGCAGATAAAAATTTTTTTGCATAGTGCACAGCAATGATGGAAGGTTGAAATATGTGCTTACGCACAAAAGCCTCCATTACCTCTAAAGATGTCATGCCTTGTCCCTTGGAATGTGAATCAGTTAAAGTTTTGCCTGATAATTCATATTGAGTAGGAAGAGGACGCTCTCCAAATCCACCAGTGCTGATGCTTTGAGGTGTGTTATCCCTAATAATTCCAGGAGAATTTGCTAGAGATACTGATGTTTCACTGATAGTAGATTGGGGTTCATTTTTAGACTGCAATAGACTAGATTTTTCCTTAGTTGCTTTCTTATTCCTTGAAAAGAACAAACTTGTAACTCTCCCTTTAAATGATTTCATGCTTTTTGGCTTTGTCAGATCCTTCGAGTCATGTACTTTGCCAGCCTTGTGCTCGCTGACTCCAACACCAAGCCCAGAATCATAGATAGTAGAAGAAGATGCGGGGACAGATTTTGACCTTGCAAGATTTTTAGGAGAATCAGTCACCTGTATTTCTTCATTGCTATTATTACTGCATTCCCTTGGTTTTTGTTCTTTATTGCCATCCTCAACCTCTGTTGAAACAGATTTTTTTGCATCTGAAAGAGCGAGCATCTCACCCAAGGAAGAGCTCTTGCGCAAATGCCGTTGTTCTTGAGGCCCTTTATTTGATGCTATCATGGCCCATCTTTCAGAAAGTCGTTTCTTTGCCTCTCTGCAAACTGATGACTCAGGAGAATAGGATGCACGGCTGAAGGATGATGGTGAATAAGGACCATTATAGCGGTTAACATAGTCCCATGAGTGCCTTGGAGATGGTGACATAATCTCCAATTCACTAAAATTTCCAGCAGCATAATCATTTTCTGATCTGTTGAATGAACTCTCATCACCTGTGTAGCCATTGGAACAGACAGAAGAATGCAAAGCTTCATCCCTTTGATGGCCTACTGGATCTCTATGCACTTGGCATGAGATCTCTTTTGCTATTTTCCTTGATTCCCGTACATCATATTCAGGATGGAAATTTCCACTTTGCAAACTTCGAGGTGATGGACAAGTTGGAGAAGCCACAGCCTTAAGCTCATTGGTCTTACCAGAACTAGGCTTCAATACCACAATTCTAGTATGTTGAACTTGATAATCATCAACTTTCTGGGGGGGCGAAGAATATCCATGGTTCATGTTCCATACTGCTGCTTGACCAACATTTGCTGGTTTTTTGTTCTGTTTATCATTCTTCCTTTCCTTCACAGCAGAAACGTCATCATCAAGCATCTTTGAAGGTTTGAGCACGGTGATACGCCTAGTTGCAGGTTGTGGTTGTGGAGTGGACTGGAGCTCATAAAGATTTTGAGAATCCAAAAATCTGAGGAACAGATCTTTATTAGAGCTTAAAACTTCCAAGGCATCTTCAAATTCTTTTGACTGTCGTAATCTCTCGTCTGTAGACAGACGTTTTGCTTCCATAAATTTCTGGCGAATGAGAGCCATTTTTTTCTCATTAACATCTTCAGTCCACATTCCTTTCTCTGCCGTCTTGTCTCTAACATTTGCTGTCCTCTGAGGTTGCCTCCATAACTCATAAATATCTTTGCATTCAATCTTTTCTGGGCTCTCACGAACTTCACTCAGCATTTCCTTGTCCATTAATCTATCTTCTAGCTGCCAGTGTTTGAATGGCATCCCTGAATGACCACATATATGTTGAGAATAATCTTTTTTATGGCCTCTTGGCATGGCTAGATTGGGCTCCTCCCATGGGAGGGATTCAAGTCCCATTAACTTGGCAACTACATTCGGTGGGCTGTGCCTGGAATCAACTTCTTTTGACATTTCTTGGTCTATTAGCATCTTGATAGGCGTTCCATTTATTTTGTTCTTTGATGACGATCTCCTCAAATCAGAAACAATCTGCAAACCCCATGAAAATGCAACAAAAATAAGTAGAGTATGATAAAACCAATCAAAGAAAAAGAAAAGAACCCATATGGAATTGTATTTATATTAATAGATATATAATCCCAAATCACCATTTTATCCTCCAGCTGATCACCAAAAGGAGGTCTTGCAATCCTCGCAACATCTGATTGACTCCTTGAAAGTGGAAAAGCTGCTAGTCAACCAGGTACAGTACAGTGAGAAGTGGAAAGATATAATACGTACACATATGACACATGCAATAATTTCAAGTGCAACTGTTTCTGACCATGAACAGAAGGAAGAAATAAAAAGGCAGAAACACACGATTGACAATATAAAGATAGCTCCACCTTGTTAATCATGCACCTAGATAAATATCATACAATCACAACAGCAAAGAAGGGGATAAGGTATCAGTCAGTCAAAACTACTGGAGATTTTAAGCTTCAGACAGGAAATAAAGGACAGAATAAGAGCTAAAGCAAATTTATGGATAATTTAATTATCATAAAGTGAGAAATCTGTCCAAAAGGGAGCAACAACCCCGATTCATTAAGCTCCAATTACATGGAAACAGAGAACCATAACCAAACCAAAATTTAAACTGCCACAACAGTCACTTCAGTCAGTACTAGCCTGCTTTAATCAATAACACAAGGCATCTGAAAATAAAAGATGTAGCTATACTGAATTAACTTTCCAGTTCAAGAACTTGTCCTTCAATATTTTGCAGTATTATTCGTCAATCCTCAATTCGACTCATCACCATCCCCGAAGCCCCGAAGTTAAAATCAGCAATAGAAGAACATCATAAACAACCATGAAGACAAACGAACCAAGATCGTCCGGAAGAAATCTCATAGTAGAAAATCCAATGACACTTGAAAAAAACGACCCGAGAGCTTCTCACAGCAATGAAAAATTAAACGATTTAGTGAAAAGAGAAATAATGTAAATGAAATTACCATCAAGATGTGGCTTATCAGTAAGCAGCCTGTTTCCGGTCACACCGGCAGTCAAATCAAAGAGGTTTACCATTCTTCCCAAGCATCCCGGAAACGGCTTTTCATTATTGTGAAATTTACTGTCCTGAATCTTCATTTCAACAGCTGCAGTGGGAAAAGTCCAAGATTTATCCATATACGCAGTACATAGATGTACATAAAATATGTTAGACCATCTAAAATTTGAAGAACTATAAATGGACAAAATTATCGGGAGAAATAGGAGAGAATCAGGAACGATGCTGACAAATTGAAACAAAGAAACCAAAATAAGATGTGGCTGAACGAAAACGATCGAAAACAAAGACGCATAAACAGCAACTCACTAAACTCAGTTGAAAACTAATTCGCTTACCCAGAAAGCAACTTGACCGACTTATATCGGAGTTTATTAATATGTCTTGCACAGTCGACTTCAATCTCGAGCCTCAATATCAGAGCCCGAGCTATCAAGCGACACAAGCGGGCAGAGAAAGAAAGAAGGGAACACGAACAAGAAAATCCGGAAGCTCAAAGTTGAAAAATGGCAGTCACATAGCATGAATAACCAAGTCCATTCATCCGCACCTCAAAACGCCAGTGTTCCCAGCAACTGACGCCAAAGTAGTGAAATCACTATTGCACACCCGAAGGGTCAAAATTTCACCAATCGAAGCAGAGCTCTCATACAAGAATCAACAGAACTCAAGAGTGAAACGAAATCCCAATCTTTAAGAAAGCCCCCCCAAGTAGAATTCTTTTCAGGATCCCGAACAGCAAAATACAGATCATGACTGTCAGAAGTAGACGGATGCTAAAAGCGGTACGGAGGCAATGAAGACAACAGCTTATTTGGCTACAAATCCATAAAGAAAAGCTGATAGATTGAGATAGGACAGGGCGGAAGAAGCGGGAGATTCAAGAATGAGGAGATCGAAAGGGAAGCATCGACAAAAAGCTAAAAATTGGAGGAATTCAGAGAGCCAGAAAGAAAATATGCACAGACGGGAGGAAGTTGCAAAACGGGGAAAGTGAGGGTCCAGTGACAATGTGGCCGGTAGTTGGCCGGAGAAACGGTGGGATCGAGAAGCTGACGAGATATGCAAGCTTATGTTTTGGGCTTCACCGACGAGTTGTATTGTGCGTGGGACTTGAAACACGTTCGTCCAACTCCATTCACGCTTGCTTCATCATTTTGGTATTTGGATTGAGAGAGAGAGGGAGGGAGAGAGAAGACAAACATTGATATGGCTGGCCTTCATTTTTCTTCATTGTTAAAAGTCATGACTTTTCATGCAACTCTTTTTCTCTTTTTAATCATAAATTTTTAAGTTTATATTTGGAAACTTTTTGTAGTGGTTTGTGATTTCTTTTGGCCAACAATGCTTTGTGGATCCTTACTTTGAGAATGATGTTTCTTCTCATTTTTTAATTATTAAAAGATCTGCAGCTTCATGTTAACAAAACCATCAACACTAGCAAAATATAAAATTTATAATTAATTAATATTTATAAATTATAAACTGTAATTAAAAAATGTCTAATTTTTATCAAAAGTGTAACATGTCTTTGTACAGCTAGGATGTTGTGTTTCTTTCATGGAACCTTTGCTCGATGCATGCAGTTCAGTGTTGATTTGAAGAAAAAAAAGAATTGAGATCTCATTCTTTTGACCAAAAAAAAAAAACAAATGATGTTAATAAGAAACAAATAGTATTATATGCACATGATCGAAGAAGAACAGCAAAGAGCAGAATTACAAGCAGTAAAGATGCTCTTGTCTTGACATCCAACCCTCCAAACCCCTACAACCAGTGGCGGGAAAGAGGAAATAAAAAGGATTATAAGGAGAGATCAAGGTTCTTAGATGATAGTAGTGGTTAATTAGAAGGAAGGAGCAAGGAGCGATATAATGAGGTGGTTTGGTTAGGAACATGAAGCGTGAACAACAGAGTAAGAGAGAATCGGGTCCATAGCCTACTTGCCGCCACCAACTACGATGACCTTTCCGTAACAAAACTCTTTAAACACTTTGTACCCAAAACAAACCTCTCTTTTTTTTTTTTAATTGGAAATAATATTGAGTATTAAATATAAATATATCTCTTAATAAAAACTTAAAACTTGATTTATCACGCTGTGAAAGACTAGTTAGTGAAAAACACGACTCTTTTAAATACCCGCAAGAAAATTACCATATTAGGCCCATAATACAATATATTATGCCTATAAGTAATTTGTATGTCAATTAAGATGTTATCATTTTATAATCCAAATTTGATAAAGCCATACCTGCCAATGCATTTTTCCAGTCCTGCCTGACATTCTGTGGTATACATATTTCTTTGCATTATATGGGGTTGGTGAATCATTAGACCGGGGAATTTGGTGGCCAGGGATACAATTAACAGGAGAAAAAAAAAAAAAGAGAAAATTTTTTCATTTAAAAAACACTTACAAAGCGAGTCTCTTGAGTCTCGACTGATTATCTGCTTTACTTGCTTGGCATTTTCAAAAATTAACGATCACCGGATACTTAACATTAGATGGAGAAAATAATTGATGCCAGCATAAAAATTAAAAACTCCTAAAGTTTTTAAATATTTTTCAAAACAAAATCAAGTGCATAAGAAAATCATTAACTGTATTTTTATCAGTGCGGAAGTAAAGAAACCTGCTTAATTTTTTCCCAAAAAAAAAAGAGAAAAAGATTTGCTTAATCTGTATGAATTTGATAAACTATGAATATCCCTTTTAGGCAAAAAAAAAATTCCTAAGCATAAGAGGTAATGAAATAGACCCACTTATTCCAAAATAAAGTTTACATCACTTTAATCCAAAGATTGAATAATCGAGAGGATATCCATATTTGGTGTCTCGCTTTAGCTTTACTTTCAATAATCATGTACTCATCTTTCATGGGGCTAGTAAGAATTATATATATATATATATATATATATACACACACACACAGGCATTTTAAATTATCAACATGATTAAAGGTAAGTCATTTTTAATAAAAATAGAAAACATTGACCACAAAATAATGGAATGGAGGAAGAGAGAAATAAGCGGATGGATAAATTGTAAGACAAACAAAGGATGAGGTGGGCATTAGTGAGAGCAAGAAAATCTTGGAACGGGCCACATATCATTTTCCTTTATTATGATCATCAATGAGTGACGTCTAAGTTGCACATGCCCCTGAAAATGACCCTCTTTTTCCCAATGCCAAACTACCATTACCCTCCCTAATAAATCATGTTCATAATAAATACACACACAATATATATATGTGACGAATATGTATGCTAGCTGTTGGCAAAAAAAAAAATATGTATAATAGAAAAAAGTTAATATAATTTCCAGTTCTTCAATAGTTTACTAAGTTTCAAATCATTGGTTTTGGTTCTTTATAGAGATAAAATAATCCAGGTTTTTATTACATTATAGGGACTAATGTTTCAGATAGAAAGAAACTTAAGGAATTAAAATCGAAATGAAAACAAATTTAAGAGATAAAAAATTGTATTAACTTAAAAAAAATTGTGGGGACATTTTGACCCAATAATGCTAAACATATATTTTTAGTATATCTCAAGTGTGCGTGTTCGAGTTCTTTTTGTTGGGCAAATCACCAAAAAAAGAAAAAAAGAAAAAAAACTGTGACCATGAGAGTTTTATGTTGATATGATCCGATGTGGCTTGTATTAAAGATGGGGCTTAATGTGAATTTTAGAAATTGGTCGGTATTTTGAAAAATATATTCAAGAAAACGTATATCACATAAATGAAAGACTTAAACTGAAATTCTGCAGCCACTTGTCGGGCCTTCCATAGCTCATCCGTGAAAAGATACGTGCAGTACAATTGAGGCAAAATCCCTTCAAAATGATCCATTACAGACAATGAATGACTAATTAAATTGAAAACGACCCACTTATTTTGATTATATTGTCATTTTCGTACCGTATTAAATAATTCATTTATGTAAGTTATGGGACTTGCGAAGTGAAGGTGATGAGGGTTTTATTAAAGAGTTATAAGTTGGACTTTCAGATTTTGAGTTTGGTAAATCATTATTTTACATACAAAGCCGCTTTTTTTCAAAGTAAAAATGGCACTATTAAAGGTTAGAGTTTTAGCGGGAACAGACTGAAGTTCGGTGTGTATTTTTTTAAAATAAAATATTTTTTCCCCAAAGAATGGTGGTGAACATCTCAAAAGATGATCGCCTTGCTTTGGCATACATGCCTTATGGTTTCACTTTTATTGTACTTCAAAGAAAAGAACTTGAAAATTAAATCAGATAAAACCATTATTTATTGGATTTAAAGCATGCCATTTCTGTATCAAAAACCGAAAAAGGGAAAATAAAAAGGAAAAGAAGCACGGCGTTTTGATGTTTGCATGACGTAAAGATCCAATTTTCAAACGCTATTGGCCCTATAGTTTTGTTTCTGATCTCTCTTATTTTAAAGAAGATAGCTTTTGTCAAATCTCCAGGAAATTTGACCCTTTTTTAATTTCTTTTAAATTTATGCGACCTGATCCTTTTTCGTTTCTCTATAAAACATGTTTGCCTTTCTTGAGTCATATACTGAGCAATTAAGTAAGCTGAAGAGTTAAAAACACAGGGAGAAGAACAGGATCATTTGAACGTTTTGATTTTCAAGGCGAAGATTATCTGGTATGGATATGCATATATATCCAGAGAGCTAAAGTGATTTACTGCTACAAAACAATTTCTTGTAAAGACTATTCAACAACCTCAGATCAGTGTTTTGTCTTGCATGTTTGAAGCCTCCGTTAAAGTTAACTAAGACTGCGTCAATAACAAAAAAATAAATACCGAACACCACTTTGTCATAATGCAACAAAAGATATCGTGTTTTCACGTTCAAGTGACCGCACGAACATGATCATGGCGACATGCAAGGGGATAACAGATTTGATGATGGCTCTTGCGATGATGGGGTAAAAAAAAAAAAATCACATCATTAATGGTAATAAAATTGTCTAATAGTTAAAAAAAAAAAAGTGGTAATAATGACAAACGAGGTTAATTATGTTACATCAACGGACTAATAACTTTTTTAGGTTTTACTACAACATGATAACAAAAGCCTTTTTTCCCCCTGTGAATCGTGATAAGAATGATGGGCTTAATATTTGAATTTGAACTGAACTGAATCAAAGGAATATAACAATGCAAAAGTAGAATGAATGAAGAGCGTAGCATGATTAAGAATGAATGAAGAGCGTAGCATGATTAATGCTACTTTCGTTTCTCTTCTTTCTTCTTCTCTCTCTTGTTTTTGATAGTGTCA